ATACTTGCATATTTGAATTAGATAAGTATATATAGAATTGAAACTTACTGTTATAACAATATATTATACTTTGTTTCTTTTTCTTTTTTCTCTTTTTTTCTTTCACTTTTTTTTAAAAGCACTTGTTATATGGTTTTTTTTCTTTGACAACGTAAGTATTTCTATCATGATTATCTTTGCATTTTGTTCCTTTTTTTCTTTTTCTGTTATTCTAAAAGCAATAAAAAGATGAATGCTTGCAGGCTTGGGAAGGAACTGATAACATGTGTTAGCAAGCAGCTTGTTCATGAATAATAGGATTCCTTTGAAACCAGGCTTACATGAATGTGGCCAGTATTGATAATGGATTTATTCATAATAAACTAGAATGGTTGGAAATATAACAAAGTATAGTCCAAAAGGGCAACATTAAAGAATTGCATTAATTAACATTGGAATGGAAAATATGTACCTATATTCCATCAAGAAAGAAATCAAAATGAGAAGAAATGGAGTAATTCCTTAAATGAAACAGTGAAAAGTCCAAAATAATAATGTTCTAGAAGACAGTTTGATACATAATAAGCAAAAATAGAAAAAGCAAATAGAAACAACTAAAGGGATCAGGAAGGAAAATAGGAAAAAACCCCCAATAATTAATAAAGAAAAAAGACACAAATTTAAATTTTGAATATCTTAGTACAAATCAAATAAATGGAGGAAACATTTAAGGTGGGGGATTTTTTTGCAGCCTGAGGTCCAGGTTCAAATTTGGTAAATTCTCAGGATTATATTCCAGTGCTGGGTTGGAGCAGATGGATTATGTTCCAGTGCTGGGTTGGAGCAAACCCTGAATACGCTCAGAGATTATGCTATTTCTTTCTATGAGTTCTATATCACCTTTGATTCTCTCCCCAGGTTTCCCATTCCCTAGTTCTGATGCATCTTCTAGAATGTTGGCTGTATATACTTCCTCTCTGTTAGCTCTCCAAATTGTTTTCTGTTAATCTGGCCTAAAGATGGCTCTTGGTAAAACAAAGGTTTGAGAATTGCTTCAACTGCTAAGCAGTTGAAAGAGACATTTATTTTTGGAATTCTAAAAATTCTTCATGATTTATACGTAATCCTCATTCTAGCATTATACAAACCATAATACTCATCAGATGAATCTTTTTATTTAAACCCCTCTGTCAACGATATTGCTCAGATGATATCAGTTGCATTGTCAGCCTGCAGCAGAAAGAGCTGTGCACGTATTGAATGTGAGCTAAGACCCTGTACAGAAAGGACTTGAGTAATATGAACAGAAGAGCCAATTTGGTGTAGTGGTTGAGGCATCAGGCTGGAAGCCAGGAGACCCTGAATTCTAATCCCACCTTAGACACAAAACCAGCTGGGTGACCTCGGGCCAGTCACTCTCTCTCTCAAGCCCTAGGAAGTGGCAAACCACTTCTGAAAAGCCTTGCCAAGAAAACTGCAGGGACTAATCCAGGCAGTTATGAGGAGTCAAAACTGACTCAAAGGCACCAAATATGCATGCATGCATGCATACATACGTGCATACATACATACATACATACATACATATTCATGTATTTATTTTAACAGGGTGTGGGCCATAATCAGAGTATTCACCTTGTGAACTCTCTAGTTTCTCTAATGCCTGAATGGATTTTAGATTGCAGAACTCCAGCATTATCATAAAAGGGGCACAAGTTTCAGTAAACTCGCTTCTTCCAGAGTGATGTTGCTGAGAGTTTCTCAATTAGCCACTGATCACTAGCTGGAGAAGTGGTATTCCATGTAACTACTTGTTTTGTTGGCTTTTGGCCATAAACATTTGAATTGAATTCAAAGGCTCCCCAGGCATTTCTGATCAGCACTGGTCAACCTATCACATTTATTAACTTTTCTATCAGGAAAGGCTGTAAAAGTCATAGAAGGTACAAGTAGTCCTTGTTTAACGACCTTAATTGGGACTGGAATTTCCATCAATAAGTGAAGCGGTCATTAGGCGAAACATTATGTGATTGGACCGCTTAGCAATGGCAGTTCCGTTGCAGTCGTTAGGCCAGGACCGCGCCGTTGTTAGGCCAAGATTTCACATTTCTCCTGCCTGCTGCACTTGCCTCTGCTTCAGCTCCCCCCCCTCGTCTATCTCCCCCCCCCATCTCTGCCCTTTTGGCTGCCCCTGTACTCTGCTACCCCCAGCTGACCTTTACCTTCTTCCTCCTGCTGCTGACAAGGCACAGCTGGTCTGGCCACATGAGCCTCATGAAGGGCCGGGCTGGGTGCACCTTGTCAGCAATGGGAAAAGAAGATGGCAAAGATTAGGTGGGGATGATGCAGGGCAGCAGGAATGGTGGAGGGCAGGGTGGCAGGGGCAGTGGAGTGCAGGGCAGTCAAAAGCGCAGAGATGGGGAGATAGATGGGTGGGGGGAGTTGAAGTGCACCCTGTGGTCATAAATGCAGGCAGGCTGCCAAGTGCCCAAATTTTGATCATGTGACCAAGGTTACTGCAGCAGCTGTAACTTCAAGGACCAGTCATAAATACCATTTGTTCAGCACCGTCATAACTTTGGTTGCTGAACAAATGGTTGTTAAGTGAGGACTACCTGTAGTAATTATTTGGTAACAGTAGTTTGGGTTACCATATCTGGCCTACAAAAAATCTGGACTCCACTGGATGGCAGCAGATAGTTATCCAAAACACCTCTTTGCCATGTAGTAGTCATCCAGATTTTTGCAATCCAGATTTGGTAGCCTTGAGACCAGCCCCAAATTGTAAATTCTGGTGAATGACTATTTCTATAAAAGTGGTCTTTTAATGATTTCTGTATTCTTATTCTGATCTTTATTTGATTTCTACAGAAAGACATTAAGTGTTTATGGAGTATAGTTTCAATTGATAAGTGGATAGTGGCACTGGAAAGGATGTCTGTAAATGATACATTTATCATAGAAATACTGGATTTTGGTTGTAGGCAATTCCCAGCTGGGAGCAACTATAGTAGATGCGTTGGATACCCTCTATATAATGGGCCTTCATGATGAATTCAGAGAAGGACAGGAATGGATTGACAATCACCTTGATTTTAGCGTGGTAAGAAAATGTATCTTAGAACATTATTTTCTGGAGAAACTTACATTTTTGTTCCTTCTACCAATGTTTAAAATGATTTGTGATGATGGACATGAAAGCCTTGTCAAACTTCAAGCACACTTTTTATTGCAGTCTTTTAAGAGTGAATTTGTGTTCCTGCTGAATTATAAGCACTTCTTAGTGCTGTGCTAGTACTTTTTTCTTTTGCACTCATTTTCATGAGACATGCTTTTGATATGCCCTGTGATATTTTGCATAATTTGGGTAGCACTGTTTCAATCATATCAAGTATTAAAAAATTAAAAGTTAGTTAGCTTGTACTAACTTTTTGTCTCAGTTACTTCCATGTTTTTCAGAAATCATATTTTTTTAAACCCAGAAATCACATAAGAGCTTTCTTAGTCTTCAGTCTTTGTATCTGAACCATTGTAAGAGTGGTACTAGAAGCTGTCACTTCCAGTTTTAGTTAACCACAGTTTAGCATTGCATCCAAACCACAAACTAGTTAATTTTCACTTACTAGTTGTAAGGATGCACGTGAAATATAAATGCAGTATATCACTACTTAGTTTATACTTAAAGAATCTACCTTCTTATCTATTTCAAGAATTCAGAGGTATCTGTCTTTGAAGTCAACATTCGTTTCATTGGTGGCTTGCTTACAGCCTATTACCTCTCAGGACAGGAGGTAAGGGAGTTTCTGTAAAAGTTTGTAGCTTGTTACTAATTTTTTTAAGGAGGCAAATACTTGTTTTCTTCCCATTTCATAGGCTGTTTGGTAGGTAACCAGAACGGAAGGAGCCTGAGCCTCAATGTATGTCTAAATGAAGAAAAAACACAGCACTTGGTATTGGTCTCAAAAAATAGTATACCAAAAAAGTCTCTTAATTTTACAGAAATTTCCATAGCCAAAGGAAAGTCCTTTGGTTCCCTAATGAACTTACTGATCTTTCCTTTGCATACTAAGAAAAATAATTGTGAACTAGCTTATAGATTGCAATGGTTGCAGAATTTAGATTTTTTCCCCCCACCAAATTTGAGTTATATGTTTGAGGTGTGGAGGAAGTGGTCAGATTCAGGTATAGAAAGAGAATCACTACTGACTTGATGTAACCATATATAAATCCTGAAGATTCGTTTTATTCCTAATATGAGAGCTGATGGGGTGAAATGTTAATCAGGCAGTCAATTTTGTAACATTATTTGTTTTGTTTAAGTTCCCAAATTTCAGTTTATTGTTATTATTTAATATATTGCACTTTAGCTTAAAATAACACTTAAAGCAGTTCTCA